GTTCAGTTGTTTCTGTCTTTAATAACTGGCCAAACAGTGATCAATATGAGAGGCAAGCACTGGTGGCAATGGGTTAGTAAGAATGACGCATCCCATTAAATTATTGTCAGGGCGGCTAGGATACCCCTTTGACTTTGGAGACTTGAAATTGTGACCACTGCTTGCCGCTCGGACAGGGGACCCTTTGATCTCAACGGCTCACGGCTAGCCCTCTGGATTTCTCTCCAGGGAAGGGCAAAAGCTGCCAAACATGTTTTGGCGCAGTACGACCGATTCGACTTGCGACCTTGATGTTGTTATCGATCCAGTCTTGCGACCTTGGAAAACAAACGCGTTTGATTTTGAAGGTTAAAGTCGAATTTAGCCGAATTTAGTCGAATTCGGCCGAAGTGTGCCTACACGATAGCTTTTGTCCTATGCAAGCAGTAAAATCTGGCTGACCTTGACTGAATAAAATTAATTAATTATGAATCCGATTAGTTGTTTGAACTTAGTATTACTTATGCTGGGGGGGGGGGAGAGAGAAGTGGAAGGGGCTTTGACAAACAAACAAACAAGCGAAAATACGCAAAAACAAAGATAAAAATACTCTTATGGGTAGCCTGCTTTGGCTTGCATGTTTGTCAAAGTCTGTTCATCCTAAGCTTTATTATTATTTCAGCTAGTTCCGAGGGCACGATACACATGAATTAATAATGATCCCCCCCCCCGGGTTATTGAAAGATTAAACAGTTAATTATTCATATCTTCCGTGGGCCTTCTGATTCCATTAAGCTTACTAAGGAAAAGATCCATAGTGTCTTGTATATAAACAACTTTCTTGTATTTTAATACATTATAAACTTAATCTATGGCAACTGGTTGCTATGGAAAGCTTCCTAACATAATATACTGAATTACGTGGGAAGTAGAAAAGTGTTTTGGGGGGAGGGGGGGGTGAGTTCGCCTAGGGAAAGTAGAGAAAGTGTTAAATTTTTAAATTATTGTTTTAATTTTCATCATCATTATTTATATTTTATTGTATTATTTCTTAAGATAATTTTCCTTTTTTATTTTTA